AGAGAGAGAGAGAGAGAGAGAGAGAGAGAGAGAGAGACGGAGAGATGCGTTTCCATCCACCTGTTTTTATGCAAAACTCAGGTATTTATAATTTGCGTGTAAAAAATCTGAGTGAAAAAATGCTAAAAAATATTGAAATGTCACAGAAAAGTGTTTACACTTGGCTACGGTGGATAAGTAGGTGATAATAATCTGTAGTTAATATTTTAACCCTTTTTTAGACTCACTAGCTAATTTGGAAGCCATGTCATTTGTTTCTTCGACATGTTCCCGAATACATTACTTTTTATTCACACACACACACACACACACACACACACACACAATACACAATCTAAAATAAGTAGATAAATCACGTCAGCATGTGTTGCTAACAGCGTATACACGGCTATGAACATCTACAAACCAGTTTTTACTAATTCATCATTTCCCATCGAACCATCACTGCTGACACTAAACCAGAACTGGAAACATGAAGTAGAGCTCATGAGACTAACCTTTAGCCAAGTCAGCTACTGAGTGATATTTGAGAGACTGACTGCTCTAAACTGAGGCACAGACACACAATCTACCTTTTTATCAAATATCTTGCATGCCTAAGATTCCAAAATGTCTCCTTATCTGTATGACTTCAATTCTGAATAACTAAGGTTTGAATTTAGATCTTGAGATTGTTTCCACTTTCTTTTCCTGAGAACAGACATTTCATGCTTGTATAACTCAAACTCGCCGTCCTACATTTGAACCCTTCTGGATTTGTTCAGTCAGTAGCGGAGAAACACTGTTTGGTGGATTATTAACAGTGTTATGGCTGGTATGATGCATGACATCCCAACACACAGAATGTGGAGGCTCTGTTGAGTGGAAAGTCACCATGGAGGTGTCTCAGCCGCTCAAGGCTTCCCTGGAAACAATGCATGGCCCAGGGTGGATAAGCACACACAAACACACTCACACCCTGATGGGAGAGGTCGAAGTCATGAAGTCACAAAGTCATATTTCCTGTTGTACAATTCATTTCGAGTAAAGCCCTCATGACACCAACATATAGAGGGTTGATTTGGACATTTCACAATTTCTAAACTTCTTCACAAGCTTCTGAGAGAGACTGGAAGCAGTGAAAGCAAAAGTTAACTTTTATTTTTGGAATGAATCGCAGCAGAAACTGGAAGTTTCTAGATTACAGCATCCGGAGGCTTTGAGCTGGAAATGACAGGAAATGAGGGACGAAGAAAGAAAGATGAAATAGCTTTGCTTTTTTCTTTTACTAATAATACGGCCAGTGGTTTCACTACTAGCTTGTATCAGGGTGTCTGTTCTTGTAAAGGTGAAACTTTTGAAAAGTCTGTAGACGCAACATGCTAGAAAAGTGTTCATAAAGAGTTTGGAATTAGTTCCTTCAGAAACAATGAGAAGAAGAAGGCGTGGTCGCAGTTTCAGAGCATCTTTTAGTGAAACCGCAACTTATTGAGCGTGTGGATGAAGTGCAGAGAAGAAGATGGTGGTGTTTGGATTGTTTGAGAAGTTTCTGGATTGTTTTTGTCCCCAGAGTTAAAGCTAAGCTGCTGTTCTATATGAAGGAGAACAAACACAGTTTTTCAAAAGATTATTCTCTTTGCAATTAGATATTTTTTAAGGGGAGACACCTCTTCTTGGTCAATTTTTATATTTTGGTTTATGTTTCTTCCATAACACGTCGTCTTCACGACTAGTGGAAAGAAAACGTCCAAAACGACACACTTAGGTGTTTGTTTTACTACTACGTGTTTGTAGAGTTCTGCTAAATTCACCAACAGTTACCATTAGATATTGTCTCATTTGCATATTTAAACATTGTGGAGGGAAGCAGAGATGATGACTTCCTGTTAGCTACAGAAACATGTCATCCCTGCAGCTCTCTATTCATCCACCAGTTATTATACTGAACCATTAATATTTAAAATTCAAAACAACTTTATGGATCCCACTAAGGAGCAATTAGTTATGAGCAGCTTGTACACACAAAAAAAACACAAAAACATACAACAACTACAAACAAGGAGCTAAAATATGGAACAAAATCTATGAATGAATATACTGTATAATGGTATAAGTGATCTTGCAGTATACGTACTACTAGTAGTACTGCTGTTACTGGTAAGCCATATAATGTCACCACTAACAAAACGACTGCTACTACTAACACTCTTATACTACTAGAAAAGACCACTAGTACCAGTAAGTGTAGCACATGTAGTATTATAACTAGTACTGCTTACTGCTTTATCATGTACCTTATCTAGTACTACGGTAATAATGTTGTATTTTTAAGGTAGAAAGGCCTCACTGCTCCCCGTCTGTGTCAGCAGGTGAGTCAATGAGATCAACCGATTAAGACACACAAGAGTAGATTAAGGAAAAGCCACTCGACGGCTACGACACGTCTGTAAAACCACCATCGGCCCATGAGCAGCTCCTTTATAGGGAAGCTAATTCAGGAAGAAAACATGCAGGAATATGTTTTATTTACCCGCCAGCTGATCTTCAAGATGATTTCACGATCATAAAACAAAATGATGAATTCACCTGATGAATTAAAAGAAGAGCAGACGACCACACTGCCTCCACCGGTCTGTCTGTCTGTCTCACCTCACGGCTTTATACCCGGCTGATGAGACGCAACCACGGAATAAATAACCACGGTGTGTCATTGAGCTTGAACAGCGTTATTCACTCGTTAGTGAGGAATGACTGGAATGGAAATCCATGTCAGTGTGAAAACAGGGAGAGGGGACGGAGAAGAGTCAGCACCAGCTTATCTACTTATTTAGGAGTCATTGCAGGAGTTTTGATCTGCTTCTTAAACGTTGTTCATATATAAAGAGGACTTTTATTTATCTGAGTTTTGAGTGTGAAGTTATGGGGGAGAAGAGGGGAGGAAACAGAGAGGGGGAGAGTGAGGAAGAAATGATGAGGTAATGAGAGAAAGGGAGGAAAAGATGAAGGATGGGAAGGAGAGGAGGAAAGACTAGAGGAAAGGGACTAAAAAGGAAATTATGAGGAGGGAGTTCAGACGATACAGGAAGAGAAAGAACAGAAGGAGGAAAAGAAAGAGGGATAGGGATGGACTTGAAAAGACAGAAGAAAGACAGAGGAAGGAAGAGACAGAAGGGGGGGGGGGTGAAAGGAAAGAACAAATATATGGAGAGATGGAAAGAAGGGTGGGAGAAGTTAGAAGAAAGGGAGGGAGGAAGGAGAGGAGAGAAGGAAAAGAGTGAAGAAGAAAAAGAAGAGACAAAAAAAGAGTATATGGGAAAAGGGGAGGAGAGACAAACTGGTGAGATAATGGAGGGATGGAAAGAAGGATGGAAAAGGAGAGGAGACGAGGAGAAGTGGACGATAATGGAATGAAGAAAGGAGGGATGGATGGAAAAGACAGGAAGAGGTAGGATGAAAGGAAAAAAGTAATCTTAATAGGAGAGGAGGAAAAGAGAAAAGGAGATGTGAGGAAGAGGAAAAGACTGAGGAGATGAAGGAAGGAAGAATAAAAAAGAGAGGAAGACAAAAGGAAGTAAAGGACGGGAAAGAAATGAGTCAGAAAGGAGGAAGGAGATGGAGGAGAAGTGGATGACAAGAGGGAGGAGAAGAAAATGAAAGAGGGATGGATGGAAAGGAAAGGAAGTAGAAAAGAGGATAAAAGGACAGAAGTGATCTAAATAGAAGAGGAGACGAGAGGAAGAGGAAACGACTGAGGAGATGGAGGAAGGAAGCATTAAGAGAGAGGAGGAGGAAGAGGAGGAGGAGGAGGAGGGAGGGGGAAGCCTGCCCTGTTTAGGATGAGCAGCTCAGGGTTGCTCGATTGCATCATCGCAGGATAAGCCTTCTATAAATAGGGTGACGTCACCCCGCTGCTCTCGCTCCACCCCCTCCACCCTTTCTCACCCCTCCCTCCCTCTCTCGTACAGCATTCTTGGTTGCGTCACCCGGCCCCGCCCCCGTCGTCCGTCTATATAAGCGGGTGATGCAACTCACCGGCCACAAGCGCAACTTTACGCACCGACAGGAAGAGACAGGAGAGGAGAGAAGCAACTTCAGAGAGCTTTGTTTTCTTCCAGCGACAAGTTCATCTGAATTTATCAGGTAGGACGGCCGTCTGTTCACCGGGGGGGGGGGGGGGGGGGGGTCCGGGTTTGGCGGCGGGGAGGTCGGGGTGTGTTGTGTTTCTGTCACAGAGAGGACCGGTGTGTGTCCCGGTGAGTACAGCGGAGACGTCCCGTCGCTGTCCCGGGACACTTCACTAAAACTTTTAAAGTTGCTTCTACTTGTGATTAAATGAAAACGGAGAGGAGAGAAGTTCCGTGGCTCAGACTTCAGCAGTCATTTGTGATTATAAAGCAGTTTCTTATTTGTTTGTAACACTTTGGGGAGATTTTACTCTGATAGGATGTTCTGCTTGGTCTTAGTTTGCGCAGTGATAATAAAGAAATAAAGTAAAACAAATAATAATGATAATAATGATAGAATAACGTGATAATTGGGGCGTTCTCTGGATGTTTGTGATTTATATATTTTGGCGAGTTAAAGTTTCCTTCGCTGTTTTTTATTTTAAACGTTGGAGCTGATGACAGAGATTTAGAGATTATTTATTTTAAGTTAAATAGAAAATAACTATTTATTCTCTGACTCGTTTTTTAAAATGATAACCTGCACACATAAAACAAACCCGAGGAAGATTATGGACATGATCAAACATACTGTAAATCAGTTGCAGATGTTCGATGAATTGGTAAATCTAGACGGAGTATCTTATTTTGACACCTTATGGAAATATTATAGGGAGAATAAGTTGTTTTAACTTTGCCTATATGAATGTGTTTTGGTCTCGCAAGGCTGATAATAATCGTATCAAGTCATTCTTCTCACGAGTCACTCCTCTGTAGATAACACATTAATGATTCTCTTTAATTGTTTATGCCCCAGAAAGGCAAATATGTGTTTAAGTTCACGTGGTTCTCCATCAAAGCCCGTTTGTTATTCCTCCTCCTTCTCTCTGTTGCATCAGATAACGCCATCTTGACTTCTGTTTACATGTTACACTTGTTGTGCAATATTTAAGAGCTTTACCATTATTACTCAGCAAAATCAAAACCACTCTAAGTTATTAAATAAGTGACCGTAACATGCTGAAAGATATGTTTAACCTCTTAGAATATTACTGTGTTTGTGCAATTTAATATTGAGATTAAATTAGTGTTATTGCATTTTATGTATTCATTTTATCACTATGATATCTTTATGGGCACTTGTGGTGTTGTAATATTGAGGTTATTGTGACTTTCTATTGTATTTGATTGCAAAATATCCTTATAATTTGTGTCTTAACTCTCGGTGACTTTGACCGGCATGATGATAATCTGTTGACTCTTGTTTGTTTTTATCCAGAATGATGCTGCAGCACCCGGGTCCCTCGCTGGCTGACATCAGCTGCTCCGCCCTGGTGCCCTGCCTTTCCCCGCCGGGCACGCTCACCCTGGACGACTTCACCAACTTCACGCCCATCGTGAAGGAGGAGCTGCGTCTGGCCATCCAGACCAAGCGTCTGTCCAACGGGCTCAGCGCAGACATGAGCTCCGACGGCGCCAGCTCCGGCTCGGAGCGAGCCTGGGAGTGCCGCGCCGGTGGATCTGGAGGGAAGAGAGAGGTGAGGCGGAGAGGGGAACCGCTTCAGAGCATTGCCATGTGGGGCTTGTTGACACCGTGTATTGACATTTTATCTCTGGTTTTCAGACCACACCTCAGGAACTCGAGAGGAGGAAGAGACGGAGGGAGAGGAACAAGGTCGCTGCCGCCAAGTGCCGCAACAAGAAGAAGGAGAAAACTGAGACTCTGCAGCAGGTAGCTTTCAACTGCTATTGATTTTAGAAGAAGATAACTCAACTTTTCTATCAGGTTTTTTTCATAGAAACGCAGTTTTGTTTCATTTTTCCCACCACAAAAATAACTGGGGTCATAAATGTCTGGCTCAAGGAGAGAAAAAATATTCAAATGTATTACATGTGATTTAAGAAAAACAAACATTCACAGCCCTAAATTCCAACAATAAGTTTTCAAATAAAGTTGTTTAACCGCTCAGTGTGCGATCTTTATGTTTTTGTGACTCCGCTCTTAGAAATGGTTTTAATTTAAAATCTGCACCCTTCAGAGAGGTTCAGAGGTGCTTCTAAAGTTCCCTCCTGCTGTAGGATTTGTGCTGATTTACAACAATCTTCAGACCTGCCTAAAATACAAAGAAGCTCGCCAAACAAAGCTTTAACATCCGACATGTAGGCACAACATGACTTGATTTCGCCCTCTGTCTCTCCTGCAGGAGTCAGAGAAGCTGGAAAGCGTCAACAGCGACCTGAAGGCTCAGATCGAGGAGCTGAAGCAGCAGAAGCAGCAGCTGGTCTACATGCTCAACCTGCACCGGCCGACCTGCATCGTCCGAGCCCAGAACGGCCAGACGCCCGAGGACGAGAGGAACCTCTTCCTCCAACACATCAAGGAGAGCACCTTGCAGCTCCACAACCTCACCTCCTCCACCAACACCACCACCACCTCCTCGTCCTCGTCCATCTCCACGCTGTCGCCTCTCGACGGAGGACTTCTGACCCTCGATCACATTCACTTTCTCGGTCACCTATGAGCGACCGGGTGCCACTTCTCATAGACTTGCATTGCCGCCATCGGCGCAGCAGAGGATGTTGGAGCGGCTGCTGGAGCCGAGAACAGACTTGCGACCCGAGAATGACAGTGACTCTCTATAAACGCCATTCAGGATGACTCCTCGGTCTCATTCACTGTTCACGAAGCTGCTAGAGAGACCTCAGCACCTCCCACTCCCTGAAGCTGCTGATGGGACAGGAAGTGTCCACAGCAACTTGACATGTATTACTCCTTTTTGTTTTGTTTCAAACATTACAAATAGTCATGGCCAAGGACAGATGCCAAACCACGAAAAAACAAAAACATCTCTTTTTTGTTTTTAATTTACTGGTATTTTGAAAAGATGAAAGTTATATTTTTCTTTTTTGTACCAAAGTGTGATTGCAAGGTGATCAAGGCACATCAGCTAAACGTTCACCTGAATAGAAAGCAGATGGACCGTGAGTGTGCACAGACCGAGTGGGTTTTGAGCTGCAAGACTTAAAAAAAAAAAAAAAAAAAAAGTCTGTGTATGAAAAATTGTATATTTATTTAGTAACTACTGTATGACATGTCATTGCCGTATCAACCCTGTTTACGTGTCCTTTATACAACATGAACTACTAAATTTGCTGCTACTACTAACCACTCAGGACCTGTGCTGTGCTGTAGAGGTTTCAGGTTGTCTGCTATCAGGGCCGCAGTTACAAAAGGGAAATGTACTTTGCAGGCAGGGGTTAGAATTATGCACTTAATAAAAAAGGAAAGTAAAAAAAATGACAATATAATAATTCATGCAGATGATAGCTTACTTTTCTGGCAACCAAACTTGTCCCAAAAACAAAAAGCCTGTATAGAAGTACACTTTGTTTTATCACTGCGTCCCCTCTTAAGGTAAACAGAGTGTTGCATTTTAAATCTTCCGTGACGATGAAGCTCCACAAGTACGAGTGTTATGTTTTCTAGAGACGTTCCAATACCGTTTGTTTCTTCCCAATACCGATTTCGATACCTGAACTTTCATATCAGCTGATACCAAGTACCGATCCGATACCAGTGCTCTAAAAACAAAATAAAGTTAAACAAGTCAAAATTCCCTTTTTATATTTTTGTGAAAATGTCCTCAAACTGTATTCATTCAAATTAACAAGATTACATTTGAACAAATCATTGACAATATAATTCACCTTCACCCCAAATGATTTTTTTTTACTGACTATAGCTCGAACGCATCATAATGTAACTCTAATGCAACCTCCGTACGTTGGCTGTTGGCTCCGTTATGTACTAGTAGGACTGTGCTGCTAACGGCTAACGTTAACTAGCTCTCCTCCTGCCGATTTCAACGTGGTTGTGTTGTTCACAATGTAATGTTATCTGGGATGAACAGGGTGCACAATGATTGTTTAAGCACAGGTGTGTAGTACTAGTTTGTACAGATAGCGGGTGATGTGTCCTTGTGGTTCCTGTGTATTGTGAGCTGATAAATGATATAACTTGATATCGGTACTTCTGATTCTGGTATCGGCATCAGAACAACTCTATTGTTTTCTACATAAAGTATCGACTGTGCGTTAGTTATGTGCTCTGTATGTGAACACCGGATGCCTCCTTTTGATCTTGTCAGCACAAAACAAAAGTTAAAAAAAAGATGGTTTATTTTCTATAATGTATTTTTATCAACAAGATTTGGTTTGGAAGTTGTGTTCGCTTGATATCGTTAGCTAGGTATCGGAAGTGTTCATCAATTATCTTTTTGGCTGGACCTTCAACGCTGAGTTATGCACGATGACGTGAGGTGTTATGAACTTTATCAGTATCCAGGCTTTAACTCACTGCCAAATAATTCCCGCTCCCTCCGCTCCCCCTGGCCTCTCTGGGGCCTGGTCGCTTTAGAGTGAAATCGTCCCCAATGAACGAGAGTTAAGACGACGTTGTCCTTGTCGACTGCTAAACCTGGCGGCAACCGAAAGTGTCTGCAAGCGAGACGCTGAAACCCTCTGAAAGGGGAAACTGCTGATCAGTGTTTGATTATTTGAATCGTCAGTAAGCCTGACTGAACATTGAACATCCTGTTAGCTTAAGGTTGTCCTAAAGGTTTGTCACTGTCTGTTCCTGATAGAAGAGTAATAATTCATGCAGCACATTACTGTCACGTTGAGGACTGAAGTTTTATATTTTATGTTTGCGTGGTAGAAGGTTTATATTGTTGATGGTGTGGTATGTAAGCAGTCACATGGTTAAAGGGACGCAGGCGTTCAGTGTTTTTGTTGTTTCCGTGGTTGATTGTCCCGTCATGGCTAGATAGCTAATGAGCACTGAGGTTGATGCGTATGTATTCTATTGTGCCTACTTCTACTGGCTGTCTTTGTGTCGTTGTTGTTTGCAGTTGCTCCGACTGTTGGAGCATCGTGGCCTAAAGGAATGAACCGTAGGCTGTCAAGTACAACTGCACTGCTACTACCAATGTGTACTTCCATCTTTGTGATCTGTCAACTTTTGTTTTTGATACTTTGTTAATTAAAAATATGTATTGCAAATGTAACCGTGCATTGGTGTCGTTTTGTTTTGGGAAATAATCACGTTGCTTTTAAAGGACGTTATTCCATTTGATTCATACGGGGAACAGAAGTCGCTGCACAACAATAACATGTCTTCTTACAACGTCCGTACTTCATTAACGACACTTCCAGAGTTATTTCAACTTTCTTTTCCTAAACCGAACTAAGTAGTTTGTTGCCAAAACCTAACTAAGTATTCCACGATAGTTTCGTAAACCTAACTAAGTTTTTCCTGTGAAGACATATCTATGCATGTATTGAGTGGAAATTGAACGTGATGTTGGACTTTCGTAGGGAAAGGCATGAAGAATGAGGAGTAACTTTTCCTAAGATATCATACGAACCGTTGCATGAGGATAAATTGGCTTATTTGCATGGATTGTTTACACTGAGTTACATTGAGGGTCATTTGTTCAAACCTGGTGGTCCGTGCACAGGAGTTTTATTGGAGTGATCAACATTGAGAGATGTTGCTAATGTTGTAGCCACGTCCCATTCAGCTACATAAAATACTCTTCTTTTGAACTACACATCAGAAATTTGTCTCTCAAATCACATAAGCACCAATTCTTCAATTTCTCATATAAAGATCTACAGAAAGAATAAATAAATATAAGGGGAATAACACCATTGTTTCTTCTAGATGTATTTCTCCAGACGGAGAAGCTGCTGTAAGAGGAAATTAACTTTTATTCTGACAGGTCATCCCTTCAGGCACTTCATGTACAAAGCTTCATAAGAGTGACTTGAGTTCACCAGCAAACATCCTGCATGTGAGCTCAGAGCGGCTGTGTTTGTGATGCAGAGAGAGACAAGACTGGACATGTCAGCTGATCAGAGAGAGAGAGAGTGAGAAGTTACGACCTAATCGTTGTTATCTGTGAAGATAAGCTGAGAAATACTGTTCAAAGAGTAACAAACCCACCGACTCAGACTCTGCCTCAGACTGGATGTTTAACACACTCTGAGTGAACAAATATAATCAACCACTTTTATATTTGTGTAGGGTTAGCTTTTACAAAAGAGCTTATTTCCTTTCAAATATGACCTCATACTGTATATTTTGCATTGTTAAGACTTCTGGCAGGTTTTTGAAATCATTCATGCAATCATTGGTCAAATGGAATATAATGAATACAATGTTGGGGAAAACTACACACTTCAAGTACAATTTTGAGGTTCTTGTACTTTAAACAGTTCAGAGGGAAATATTGCTGCTGTTTACATTCCTGATGATGCAAATACAAAAAATGCACGACAGGAATGTACTTCTGTTTTGTTTTGTTTGTCATGTGTTTGTTGTGTTGAAAATGGGCTACAACTAAATTTTGTTGTGCATCCTTGTGCAGCATAATGACAATAAATGATCCTCTAAAGAAAAAGCTGGGAATAAAAAATGGTGGGAAATCTGATAAGCTTCACACATGCTAACTGAGTGAGGTCCACCATGGTGGTACAACAATGCATGAGGTTCTGACACTCACACTAAACTTGTTGCAAGTCAGTTTAATGGACTTCTTTGGGGTTTGTAGCTAATTACCCAATTGCACAACCAGTTAATTGGCCTGAAGCAGTGAACTCCACCCTCCTGCCTCACCACTATTCAACAAACACTATCACACAATCCAGGTTTACCGGTTTCTGCTTGAAAGGTTACCTCTAATGTGGTTTTACCCCGCCCGTCTAGAATGAAAAGGTGATAAAAGCAAACACTGAAATACGTCACCACGGGTTCTTTTTAACGTGCAGCTGTTATCACACATTTCTATTATAATTATATTGGCTGTTCGACCCCGGATAGAACACCATATTTGGGTGAAGTCATTCTAACAACCACTAAAACTCTTTTCACCTCATTTAAACATACATGTACTGTAGGTTAAAGACCATTAAAGAGTTCAAGGAGTCAATAATAGTCTTATTGTCATAAGACTACATGCTGCGGCTCAGATCCACTACAGCACTGTGAGAATGTGGGCGGTGCTGTTTGCTGGAGGGAAATGTTTCAACCTGCTTCAGTATTGTTTGATACACAACTGGTATGTTAATTATAACTTGTAACATCCCCAGGTATCCCATCCCCCCTCTGAAGCTGTTTCTTCCTCTACCTGTTCTCTCTGATCTGCCCGTTCGCCAGAGAAAAGTTGGCGTTGGGTTGTTACGCCACGTTGTTAGGCCACGTTGTTAGGCCACGTTGTTAGGCCACGTTGTTAGGCCACGTTGTTAGGCCACGTTGTTTTGCCACTTTGTTACGCCACGTTGTTACGCCACGTTGTTACGCCGGGTTGTTACGCCGGGTTGCTACGCCGGGTTGCTACGCCGGGTTGTTACGCTGGGTTGTTACACCACGTTGTTAGGCCACGTTATTAGGCCGGGTTGTTAGGCCGGGTTGTTACRCCRCGTTGTTACGCCGCGTTGTTACGCCGCGTTGTTAGGCCACRTTGTTAGGCCACGTTGTTARGCCACGTTGTTAGGCCACGTTGTTAAGCCACGTTGTTACGCAAGGTTGTTAYGCCACGTTGTTAAGCCACRTTGTTTTGCCACKTTGTTACGCCACGTTGTTACGCCACGTTGTTACGCCACGTTGTTACGCCGGGTTGTTACGCCGGGTTGCTACACCGGGTTGCTACGCCGGGTTGTTACGCCGGGTTGCTACGCCGGGTTGTTACGCCGGGTTGTTACGCCGGGTTGCTACGCCGGGTTGCTACGCCGGGTTGTTACGCCGGGTTGTTACACCACGTTGTTAGGCCACGTTATTAGGCCGGGTTGTTAGGCCGGGTTGTTACGCCGCGTTGTTAGGCCGCGTTGTTAGGCCGCTTTGTTAGGCCGCGTTGTTACGCCGCGTTGTTACGCCGGGTTGTTACGCCACTTTGTTACGCCACGTTGTTACGCCACTTTGTTACGCCACTTTGTTACGCCACTTTGTTACGCCACTTTGTTACGCCACGTTGTTACGCCATGTTGTTACGCCACATCAGAAGGAGCATAGTGCAGACAGGTGTTTTCTTCTATTTTAATGTTTTTACTATTATTACATCTGCTTTTAACAAGTCAAAATGTTAAATTGAAAGGAAATATCCTCAAATACAGATGCATGTGCATTTCCTCTTGTACTATCTTGCAAAGGGATGACTTAAAAAAGTCTCTTATATTTCATCTGATTATGCTTTCAGAGGTGAGCCAACGTTCAGCTGTCTGTTCTGCAGGCTTTAATTAAATGGTTTGATGGGAATGCCGGGAGGAGAAACATTGGTGGCACGAACAGGATCTGACATGAAAGGGTTTGTAAATGAGACTTGTTTATCTGATTTTGTTTACTATGAGAAATCCTGCTGAAACACAACTCCTCAGTCCCTGTTTTTCTGGTATGCAAATTCAAAGCAATGGCGGAGGAAGCATTCAGATCCTTTACTTTGTACAACCCTGTGAAAAAATACTCCTGCATTGAAAATGCTCCTCAATTAAAAGTAGATTGGAGGGTTATTCAGATCACCTGTTGGTCAGGATGTGAGGACTGGCTCCTTATTAAGAATTGAGAGCAGCTTGATGCATTTCCCCTCTTGGCCAATCAGGATGAAGACGACTTTCTTTTCTTTAGGGTTGAAGAGAGGTGAAGAACTGAACAGTCGGAGCATTCAGTTCCTCATTATAACAGAGTCAGCCAGATGCTCTGGTCTTCAGGCCGTTTCAAGACTTCTTTGTTGTCTTAACTTTCCAGATTGAGGTTGTTTTATTGAAAAACAAGCTGGAGTAATAATAAAGAACACCTTTACGTTAGATTACCTGCATCAGGGCAGGTCTTTATGCAAGAGTTGTCCTTGCCCACCGATAAGTTAAAGGAGACATATCCTTGCTTATTTTCAGGTTCACACTAGAACATGTTTAAAACACCTTATTTTCCTCATATTGTCCGTTTGAATACCTGTATTCAGCCTCT